TGGCAAAGCCTCAGAAGCGCGGGAACCCGCCCGGTGCCCCTGGTCTGCTGGAGACGGTCTCCAGCAGACCAGGGGCACCAGAGCAGCTTACGAACGGGGCTTTCTCGCCCCGACTTCCGGGGCGAGAAAGCCCCGTTCGTAAGTGCGGATCCGACGTATGTCGGATCCGCGTAAGTCGGGGACTGCCTGTAAAAGGGAAACTCCTTTTAGACATATGTTCTGTAACAAGTTCTTAAATGTAATTATTTGATTTTAAAAGATGTATGTTGTCTTTGGCTAGAAGTAGCAACTGGGAGACTGTTCATGCTGCTTTAACAGTCAGAAAAAAAATATTGACTATTTTAACATGTTAAAAATTCAGAATTTTGAAATGAAAGAAATGGATGAAGTTTTAAGACACATTCCTTTCCTTGGCTCAAAAACAGAAGTTATAAATGAACCAGTTTAATGAAATACACCCACAAAAGGAAAAAGACAGTTACCTGTTTTCATAACTGATGTTCTTCGAGATGTGTTGTTCATGTCCATTCCAAACAGGTGTACACGTGGGAGCATCAGAAACTTTCCCCCTCCTCATAAGGTTGGCTGTGGAGACCCTACAGTGGTGCTGCTGAATCAGTGCATATATACCACTGCCAACCATACCCCTTCCTCAGTGGGGAATAAGAGTGGGTATTGGAATGGACGTGAACACCACATCTTGAAGAACCCCAGTTATAAGAACAGGTAACTGTCTTTTCTTCTTCAATCGCTTGTCCATGTCGACTCCAATCAGGTGACTCCCAAGCCGCTCCACTATGGAGGTGGGGTCAGAGTTAAGAATCACAGATTGTAGCATTGCCCTACCGACGGCTGCATCCCCTCTAGAGAACCTATCAATGGCGTAGTGTGCAGTGAATGTGTTTATTGAGGACTACATGGCTGCCCAGGATATCTCTTGGAGGGGGACTTGTGTACGAACACAGTGCCCTACTTGAGTGTCCTGTCACTGGGGGGGGGGGGAGTGTGTGTGACCCCTGCCAGATCATAGCAGGTACGTATTCACCATGCTATCTATGAGGATATACACTGTGCAGAGACCAGATCCCTTTTTATCTGCTCCACTATTGCCATGAACAAGTGAATGGATTTCCTAAATGGTCTTGCATGGTCTAAGTAGAAAGCTAGGGCCCTTCTCAAATCTAACATGTGAAACACCCTTTGGCTAGTGGTAGTGTGTGTTTTGGGTAAAATACCGTGAGGAAGATGTATTGACCAAAGTGGAATTAGGAGACCACCTTGGGTAAGAAGGCCAGGTGTGACCAAACTTGCACCTTGTCCTTGTGGAACACTGTATATGGGGGTTCCAAGGAAAGTGCTCCTAGTTCAGACATCCTCCTCACTGACATGATGGCCATCAAGAAAGCCACTTCAATGGACAGGTGAAGCAATGAACACTCAGCCATTGATCAAGGGGGAGGGGGTCCCATACATTTATTGAGCACCAAATTAATGTCCCATTAGGGTACAGGTGGGCAAGAATATGGATACAAATTATCCAATCCCTTGCTAAAATGGGTTACCACTGGGTCAACAAACAGGAATTGGTGGGATCACGCTGGGTGTAATGCAAAAAACAGCCCCCAAGTGGGCCTTAACAGAGGAAGGTTCTAAGCCCTATGTCCGTAGGTGTAACAGGTAGTCCAGTACCACTGAAATGGGTGCCCACCTAGGGGAAAGATTCTGTTATGCGCACCAGGAGGAAAACCTCCTTCACTTGGCTAAGTACACTGTTCTGGTGGAGGCTTCTTGCTTCCCAGGAGAACCTCTTGTACTTGAGCTGAGTAATAGAGCTCTAACAGATTAAGCCATCTAGCTTCCACACCATAAGGTGGAGTGAGTGCAAGTCTGAGTGCCTAAGATGCCCCTGGTGCAGTGTGAAGAGGTTCTGGTACAGGAGAAGGGCTTTTGGGGCCTTCAGCAACAGGGTGAGAAGGATGGAGAACCAATGCTGACATGGCCACGCTGGTACCAGTAGGATTAGGCACGGTTTGTCCCAGTGTGCCTTGAGCAGGACCTGGTGGAGCAGGGGAACCGGGAAGTGGGGGGGATGGACATGTACAATAGCAAACCCTGCGTTCCCAAGATCCGAAGCTTCTGTGATGAATGTTAGCGTGGGCATCAGGAGGACAAATGCCACTCTCTCACCCAGACTGAGTGGGTGTGACCACCATCTCAGGGTCAATATCATGCCTGATGGAATGGACAGACTGTCTAGCATTGGTGTGTAGACTGAGGCAAGAAACCCCTGGAAGGGTCTGAGGTGCAGCCGAGAATATCTGACCACATGGCAGCACGACACCATATGACCCAATAGACTAAGGCATGTCCCCACTGTTGTGGTGGGACACTGGGTGAGGGAGGACACCATGTCCTTTATCACCTGAGAGCACGCTTCTGGAAGGCTGGACCATCCCCAAATTGAGTTTAGACTCGCTCCAATGAACTCTATTCTTTGTACTGGGTTTAGCACTGATTTCAGAGGACCCAGCAGTCTGAAGTACCCATGCATAGTAGAAACGGGAGACTACCCAAGAATAAAGGGAAAGGATCCAGGGAAACTGGGACCCTGTCCTCAGGTGAACCTCAAAAGCCCTGTTTGGGCCCTGGAGGGGCCTCTTAGGAGTTACTCCCGACTAGATTGTTGACTTGGGGTTCTCCTCCTATTGCGCCTACATGGCTGCTCCTGACGCTATCTAGGAGTGAATCTCTGTGGAGGAGGCTGGGGTCTATGGAATTCTTGGGCTTTGGGTAGCAGGGGTATGCATGCCCAAGAATTCCACAGTTGCCCTTGAATTCTTGAGCAAATGGAGCTTGGGGCCCATTGCTCCGAAAACAATCCTGCCCTCAAATGGGAGGTCCTGCAGAGTCTGTTGGACTTCTGGAGGCAGGCCTGAAGCTTCCAACCATGCAGACCTATGCATGGCCATCCCCATAGAGTGTTCTCACCGCTGAGTCCAAAGTCCAGGGCTGCCTGCAGGGAGGTTCCAGCTATGGTATGTCCCTCCTCTGTTAAGGCTCTAAACACCTGCCAGGCATCTGAGGGAAGGGGCCTTTTGTACTTGGAGAGTACCCCCCAGGATTTAAATGCGTTCCGACGGAGGATTGCTTGTTGGTTTGCAATCCTTAACTGCAGGGCCCCTGCCGAATAGATCTTTCTGCCAAAGTGGTTGAGTTTCTTTGCCTCCCTGGCTTTGGGCGTTGGCACTTGCTGGCCTTGCCTCTCTCTCTTGTTGACGGCTTACACCACAAGAGAGGAGGGGTGGAAGTCTGAGAAAAAGAACTTGTACTCTTTAGAAGGGATGAAGTACCTCCTCTCCATCCCTTTTGCTATGGGCAGTATTGAGCTGGGGGTCTGCTGCAAGGTGTTGTAAACTGGATTGGATGATCTTTATGATTGGGAAGGCCACCCTTAATGGACCCTCGTGTGACAAGATGTCTACCACTGGGTCCTCCAGTTCCTGTATCTCCTCCATAAGGGGGTTCATGTTTTGAGCCACCGAGAGCAAAAACCCTTGGTAGGCCCTGTGGCCAACCAGAAGAGGCCCTGCTATAGAAATTCCTGCCACTGCTTTGTCTGGGGAGGACAACTAAGAAGCCTGGGGTGGCAGCAGGTCCACTGAAAGCTCTGGGTGATGGGATCCCGCGCCTCTCCCCTTTTTACGCC